TTTTGTTTCCAAAACTCAAAAACATTGAGAAGAAGCACAGTTTCTTCAAGAATGCCAAAACTGCTGTTTCGATGGTGCAAATTGAAGAGTGCATAATTCTTTGAGGAAGATATAGAGAGATAGGAACAGGGTCTTAGAAGTGTATAGGCTTACCTGGAGGGTGTCAAGAAAAAAACACTTCACATTTTGCTACTTTTGTTTAATAAAATTATCTTATGGTTTTGTAGTAATACTTTTTGACTTACCCTTTTATATCATTTGTCACTAGAACTACTTTTGACTTGTCCATCAGTTTTTGCAGAGTATGTAATTTTACTTTTGCCTCAGCCATTTGGAGTATGGTACCTTTTGTTAAGATGGTGGTTGCTAATCTTTAGATTTATGTTCCTGATTTATACAGTGTCACTTAGGTGCTTATGATGATGTTTAAAGTTTCATCACAACACTATATCGGGTTTCTGAGGAGTAGCTGGTACATTTGAACCACTGACCTTGTGGTTAGCATTCCAGTGCTTATCCTACAGTGCCACACCAGGACTCCATATCTAAAGCCAACCCTGTTACCTTCGAGTAGGTTCTAACTCTTAGTGATCTTATAGGGCAGAATAGAACCATCCTAAATTCTAGGTGTGGCTCTGTAGAATAAGCACTGGACTGCTAACCAGAAGATTCAGCAGTTCAGACATGCCAGCCTCCCTTTGAAAGCCCTATATAGGGTCGCTATGAATCGGAACCAACTCCATAGCACTTAAGAAGAATATGATCTCCAGGGCTACCAGTCTTACGGAAGCTGACTCCCACATCTTTCACCCTTGTGGCTCATGGGGTCAAACCACAATCTTTCAGCTTGCAGCCAAGCACTTAATCACTGTGCAACCTGGGTTCCTGTGCACTCATGCAACTGCATAGTTATTCAGGTATACTAAGGCAAATAGTTCAAAATATTTTATTTAAAGGTTAATAAAAGTTTTGTTGTATGTTGTCCAAAGTCATTTTGCACACAACACCAGTGATTTACGTACTACACTTTGTGAAACGCTGATGTATTGTATATATAGTGAAGCTGCTGTATTCATAGCTTATCAGATTGTACTTACAGCCCTACAGCTGCTTTTCTAAAGTTACTGTAATGAAAGAAAGAGGTTCCCTTGTAGTTGAACTTCCAGACTACTTCTGTACCCTTTTTCATCTTTCACTCCCCTTTTTTATAAGGGGAAATTTTTCATTAAATGTGAAAATTCATGTAGGGAGCATCTTCAGTTATTGTTGGTAGTAAGTGCCATTGAGTTGGTTCCGACCCATAGCGACCCTGTACAGGGTTTCCGAGGAGTGGCTGGTGAGCTTGAACCACCAACCTTGCTGTTGAAACCAGTTTTGCAGTCCAGCGCATTAACCCACAGTGCCACACCAAGACTCCAGGGAGGATCTTTACACAGCCTATTTTCAGAAATACTTCTCTCCCTCATTATAAATTTGTTCTGAGAATCTTTTCCCAAGAATCCCAAAGTACAGAAGTATTTTTGTACTATTCAGGCTGTCATATATGTTCTCTATAACACTTGATCACTGTACCATTTTTAAGAGTTTTCCATTTTAAAATGAGAGTGGTGAAATCTACTCTTAGAAGGTTTGGTGAAGTGTGTCTCCTGTAACATGTTGTTAAGTATTGTTGAGTCGGTTCCAACTCGTAGTAACTTTGTGTAGGATTTCTGAGGAGTGGTTGGTGAGTTTGAACTTATGACCTTGCGTTAGCAATCTATTTACTTATCCTACAGTGTCAAACCAAGACTACTGTACCGTTGTTAAGTGCCGTTGAGTCAGGTCCAACTCATAACGACCCTGTATGGGGTTTCTGAGGAGTATCTGGTGAGTTTGAATCATTACCTTTGAAGTTCAAACTGACCTTTTCCTACAGTGCCACACCAGGACCCACTCCTATAGCATGTTGTTGTTGT